TTTTCATTTTAAAATTCATATTCTCAAACTTAAAAAAATAAAATAATAAAAGCATAAATATAATTAATTCTCAAATCATTTGTTTACCGTCTATACTTTTTCTACCAAAATTCCGAGTTCCAAAAGAAAAGAAATTCAAGGAGAAGAATTGTTTATTGTAAACTCTAAATTGAGATTTTGGCCTTTTTTTTTTTATTTTTTATTTTTTTATTTTGATGTAATTGCTAGGATGATTTTTGAAAAACCGACCATTTGCCATTTTACGTTATATATATTATTAATAAGTACTACACAAGCAAAAAAAAAAAAAAAANATATATAGACAGACAATTTTTTTAACTTGGATATGCAAATTTTTTATCTTGAACAAATGTTCGAAACGACTAACCGAACCAAACTGACCCAAACCGATTTTGTTTGGTTTGGTTCGATTTCAACAATTGGATTGGATTGATTTGAGATGAACAAGCCGATTTCGATTTCTAGTTAAGCTCAAAACCAACCCAATCGAAATCATGTCCAAGCCTAGAGATAATACAAGTTTTATGTAAAATTCTATATTATACAAAATGATAAAACAAAAATATAACATTTGTCACAAAATTATTGCACAATCTTAATAATATATAAATTAGTGATATCTGTACATTAAAAATGGAGAGAATATAAATTTTATAAAATTTCTATATTATACAAAATTATAAAACAAAAATATAACATTTGTCACAAATTATTGTACGATATCAATAATATCTAAATATGAAAAATATAACTAATGACAAATACTTTGAAACTTCAATTTATTTTCTCAAGAAAGGAATTTTTAACAATTGAATTCATTTTTGGTCATATTCTCAATCACCTTTGCACTAGAGTTCTCCAAATTTTGAATCCACTCATTGCGAGATATCTCCCTAAATTGCAAAAAAAGGATTGCAAAATACTCCCTTCAAGGCATAATATCCAATGGATTTTCCACCAATATTTCCATAATTTTCTTCCCTAAATTGGAACATAACTTACAGTATAAATAAAGTATCTCTCTTTGTACAATTTGCAATAATTCTGATCATGGCAGCCATTGTTCGTCTTGGTTTTTTCTTGTCCTTCTTCCTTCTTGTCCTTGTCCCCCTTACTCTATCCCGCCCTCTCACGTACGTGTATGAGGTTACCGCAGCCCTGTCCGGCTTCTTGAGTCTCAAAAACTTCCAAGGTTCTAAAAAGGGAGACAACATCAAAGGACTCTACCAAGTCAAGAAATATCTCAACCAGATCGGTTGTCTCCCTCTTAATCATGACAAGAATGATGAATTCGACGAAGAATTAGAGTCTGCAATCATGACCTATCAACTCAAATACAACCTTGAGGTTACTGGAATTTTAGATTCTGGTACGGTGTCAACAATGATGGCTGCTCATTGTGGGGTACGGTCATCTTCAATGGCCCTAAAAACACTGTTCCAATGAACAATTTTCACAAGATCGTGGACTTTTGGAAAAGGATTTTTAGACTCAAATCTGGAATTTGAATCAAAACTTCATATGGAGAGGCAAAGATGCAGTATTCATAGTTTTTGTCTCAATAGTAATGATGCGTGCAGTTCTAATTATTTTTCTAATGAAAGTTTCTTGTCTTGGCTGAATGTGCGGGTTTGGGCAAAAATTTGACTAGCATCGGCTAGCAACTAGCAAGGACTAAATATCTTGTTTTTTGTCGATTAATGTACGTGTGATAAGTGTAATATGATTGTCATATTTTAACTAGTTGAGTGTGCATAACATGCGTATGATTTTTCAAATATGCGATGATATTTAAAATGGAATCTTTTGAAAATTAAATTGCTATGAACTTACAAATTATTGCAAATATAACGTTATGAAATCTTCTCAATCCCATTAATTCTCAGATCATTATTTTTGGGGTCTGATTTGAACCATATCGTGAATACTTTTAGATGGTTGAGACAAATATTTAGATGTCATTTCTTTTAAATAATTTCATTAAAAATAGTTTAGAAACTTCACACTTGTAATTTAGATTTTGCTCTAATTTGTCCTATAAATACGGAGCCGTCATTAATATATTATATTATCATAAAAAAGAGAAATATTAGAGAAAATAGGGTGTCTATTTTTGTCGTGTATATTTTTTCATTATAATGGATTAGAGCAGCAATGGAAAATAATGTAATCTCAACTTGAGTCGAATATCTATTAATTTTGCATATTTTTTGTGTCAGCTATCTTATTGCTTTGATGTTATATAATTAGAGTTTCTAATCTTAACAATTTCTTCTTCAATTATGGCCATCTTTCGACTTATTTAAAAATTTATCGAACAAAAACACAGAAAAAAAAGAAAGGAAGAAAGAAAAAGAAAGAAGAAGAAAAAGCTAAAGAAACGTAAGAAGGGAAGTTATGTGATGATTGGTGGCGCATGAACGCCCACTATTGGCTATTCGTTCTTTGACTTTGGATTTTTCTTGTATTATTTATTTTTGATGATATTTCCTTTTAACTTTTTCATATTTAGCAACTTATTAATCAGCCAAATAAACTGAATAAAAAAAAAAAAATTATTTGTTTTGGGATTAAATGAAGAACTAAAAAAATCAATTTTATAAACATCTTCCAATAGAAAATTTAATTACTCTTAGCAGCATCAATATAAGATTTTTTTTTTTTTTTTTCACATAAGAATTCACAGTTGGAGAGAAATTAGAGCCCAAACAGAATTTCGTTAGTCTAATCTAATTTC